GCGCTGAACTCTGAATCGCAGTGGGAAAGGGTTTTGACGTCAGTGCATTTGTTTCAAAAATGAAACTTTTTGACCCCATATTTTTTTCGATTGTGCAAGAATTATTATCAAAATGATGTAAAATAAGATGCATTCCTATTTCATGTAGTTTTTATTTCTTTTTTCTGCCTCTAAGTCCTATTTAAAGGAAAACAAATTACTTTTAGTTAAAAAGTGAAGAAAGAAACGACGTAAGCTTCATCGATAGAAAAGGTGTGTGTGTGTGATTATGGCAAAGCCTCGAGGGCTATCTGCCTAAGGGGAAGGGATGCTTTCGTGAAGGACTTTTTAAGGAAAACTGGCTCGTATACACGTTACACATGGGGAAAACCACGAAAACGCCCATGCAGCCAGTCAGTTTTCGGGATTCGAACCTCGGACCGAACTACCAGTGTTCAACGACTTTATCGCTCGGCCGCTGGTGGGCCGATAGAAAAAGGAATTCTTCGTAAAGGAAACTTTGAAATACATAAGTTATGCTTGTTTGTTTACGACAAAGTTTTGTGTCTGATGGGAATTGCATTCGTAGAACGTGTTCTAAGAGTTGTTTTGGTTTATTTGGTTATGACAAAGCACGCAGGAGGTATTTGCCTAAGAGGAGGAATACCTTTGTGGAGAACATTCTAAGGGAAACTGGCTCGTATACGCGTTACAAATAAGGAAAAGCCCGAAAATGCCCATGCAGCCAGCCCATTCGCCGGGATTCGAATCCCGTTCTGAACTATCAGTGTTCAGCGACTTTACCGCTTGCCCTAGGCCTAGTGTTCTAAGGGAAAATGTCTCGTATTCACGTTCATATGTAGCGTGACTACTAGCTAGTTTTCCTTAAAAGTCCTCAATGGAGACGTTACTCCCTTTAGAGGGATAGTTGACATATGCTTTTCTATTATTCAAAAGCCAAATCCAATTACATTCATTCGCATTATATATGGAGACAGCTGGCAAAATACTCATACAACGGACTCCTTCTCCAGGATTTAAACTTGGAACGAAATATCAGTGTCCAGCTGCATTAGCCACTGGGCCACTGGTGGACGAGAATTATTTTGATTATTATAAAGCAAAGCAAAACATAAAAGCACAAATTGCATTTTTATATACTTATGAAGGTGATAAGAGCATCAGGCCTTTTTATAAATATATTATAACTACTATTAAAAAAGGATGCGAAGGAGAAGAATGTCAGTTTCAAATTTCCAATGAGCTAAAACTTTACACTGACCTTTTTTTTAATAGCAAAACTCTATGCAGAGAGTTCCTTGTTCATCATTGTATTTTTGAACAAATAAAAAATGATGGTTAATTTTATTACATTTTTTTCGTTCGTATGCTAAATTTTTACTATTATTTTTCGATGAGTAGATTTCGTACACATTTTTCTTCGGGAATCCAAAACTGAAAGACCCTTTTTCATAAAAAGTCCTTTATGAAGGATGTCCATGTGTACCTTACAGTATTCAATTAAAGAATTCATACAACTGCGTTTTGTTCATTTAAATTTTCCAGCATTCTGATAACAAAAATAATTTAAAGAGACCTGGTTTTACCACTTTATTGGGAAAACTCTTCCACTTATAATAATATGAGGAATCAGTGTTTTTCGCAACGTGAATTCACATTAAGCTCTTAGCTTCGTTGTAAACCTTAGCAGTGTCATTCATTCATTAGTTTTAAGCTTGCTCCCAAATGCGCCATGTTTTCCAGTTTCCTAGAGGTCATTTTTGGTACATTTGAAAATATATCTTCGATTATATTTAAGAATACTTTTGGAAAATAATGCAGTGGTAATCCGCAAAACAGATAATGCAGAATTATGCATATTAAAGCTATAATCTGCTGGTTAAATGAGAATTAGGCTCTTTTCCCCAACTCCGATTGGCGATATTATTTGGCGATATTTTAGAGTTCCTTTTTTTCCCGTTCCTTATTTACCGGTGCCCTTCTTTTTGTTCCCTCTTTTGCTGAGTGCCTTCTTTTCCCGCTCATCATTAAAGAAGTACTGAACATGCAGCTAACTGACATTTCTGTCATTAATTCAGTTAAAAATCAGAGTGTAGCATTTGAATTGTAGGTGCTTAAATTTCGTGAATTTCTACAACTGTCTTGTCCTAACATTCAAATTAAACGTTATAGAATAAATAAGTACCATTAAAAAAAAACCGTTGTCATAAAATTTCAATAATTCAGTTTGTATAGTTTTAAACCTGCCATACATAACCTATGAATTTTCCAATGAAGGAATGGAGCTCCAATCAATATTATAATTTTCAGGAAAAGTGCTGTCGAAAGATTATGTCGTTGAATGTTTGCCTAAGGGGAAAGAATGTAATCATTGTAATTTTTTAAAGAGTGAACCGGCTTCCATTTACAGTTAACTGGTTATTTGAATATGATAAAGCACACGAGGGAGTATATGCCTAGAGAGAGTGGTACCTTCATGGAGGACTTTACAAGAGAAACTGACTCTAATTTGTGTTACACAGGGAGGTGTGGTGTGGTGTATTTAATTATGGCAAAGCACACTAGGGCTATCTGCCTAAGGGGAGTGATGCCTTTCGTGGAGGACTTTCTAAGGGAAACTGGCTCGTATACACGTTACACATGGGGAAAACCACGAAAACGCCCATGCAGCCAGCCCGTTCGCGAGATTTGAACCTCGGACCGAACTACCAGTGTTCAGCGACTTTACCGCTCGGCCGCTGGTGGGCCTTACACAGGGAGGAAGAACTTTGAAAACCAACTACCCCATTTCCTGCAATCCGACCGTTCGCAGGAACTCGAATACCTAGCATTCATTCATAGCCAGCATCCTCAGTTATTGGTGCGACGGCAGCACAAATCCCGAAAACTAAAATCCAGTCTTGCCCATGGAAAGATTCCTGCTTCCTTCTGTTCTTTCCTTTCTTATCTTGCCAGGCCGTTTTTCAGCCATTGAAAAACCAAACTCAAAAGAAACTGTTTGTAGACCACAGCTAACTGTGCCTCAGATTTTTACTACGTAGTAGTAAATAAAGATAATTTTCCGGAGGAGTATGAGTGGCCAAGCGGTAAAGTCGCAGAAAACAGGTAGTTCGACCTGGGTTCGATTCCAGGCGAATGGGCAGACTGCATAGGAATGTTCATAGTTTTCTCCGTGTGTAATTTGGATACTAGCCAATTTCCTTTATGAAGTCCTCCACGAAGGCATCCTTCCTGTTAGGCAGATAAGCTTAACGGGCTTTGCCATAAACAATAAGGAATTTTTTTTTACATTAAGTTTATTACCAATTGTTGCTCTTAAGTAATCGTTTTAACATCTTCCAGTCAATTGTAAATTCCACTAGTCTCCGAGCCTACCAGTGGCCGAGAGGTAAAATCGCTGAACACTGGTAGCTTGATGTGAGCTTAAATTCCGGCGAACGAGCTAGCTGCGTGGAAGCTTTTGTGGTGTCCCGCCTGTGTAACGAGAATATAAGTTTCCGGTAAAAGTAAATCCTCCGGTTTTCCTCATACGTAGAGCAAATACAAGTGAATGCATTTTAGAAAGTTTTTCTCGAAGACATTTCTACCATTAGACAGAAAGCCAATCATATAACTAGCTATTCATGGCCAAATCGTGGTTGTATTACAGTGAATACGCAGTTTTATTTTCTTGTGTTTGGAGGTACTTTTTGGAGACATTTTAACCATAAATACTTTCTTCCCGAATTTTCACAAATTTTCAGGTGTAGGAATAAATATCAGTTTGGGATTTCGCCAAGAAATCATGCCAGGTATAGGAGGGAAGGGGGGAGACTGCTAAATGGAAGATTTCGTGATAGCCGTCTTAGAAGTTGTTGATAAAGCGCAGAGCCAACTGTTCCGCTGACATAAATTATAAATAACACGATTTTTTATTAAATACAATAAATCTGATACTGCTGGCCGAATGAGTAAGATCTCTGTACATTGGCAGTTCAATCCTGGTTCAGATCTTGACGAATGGATTGTCTTTATTCCCTAAGCCGATCAGTCTTCGCCAATTTGAGCGAATGGCAAATAGATTTTCGTGTTTTTTTCTATATGTGATATGGATATGAAGCAGTTTCTCTTAAAGAATCTTTCTCACCTTCCTTTCATCTTTAAGCAGACAGCTTTCGAGTGTGTTGCTGTATTTGATTAAACAAACAAATAAGCAAGTTGATACTAGTAATAAATTTATTTATTTTTTATGTGAAATGCCGATAAAATAAAAACATGGTTTGGGTGTTAAAACAGAAGGTTTCAAAATTCATATTAGTTTCCAGCAAATACGAGATTATTGGATCTGTGAGACTTCATCAATGTAACAAAGTTAAGCAGTTACAGACTTACATCAGTGATGTGTCCATAAAGTGTCTTTAACGCATTAGTAATATGTTCATAAAAATGCTTTGCATGCATTAGTAATATGTTCTGATACTTTCTGATCACCCGCGCTCTCGCGGAAAGTTGACAATTCATTTTTGTCATTCCCGCCATTATATATATATATATATATATATAAAAAAAAGAGTTTGGTTATTGGTTTTATTTTATTGTTTTTAAGGGAAGGAATGCGTTCGTGGAGGACTTTCTAAGGGAAACTGACTCGTGTACACGTTGCACATGGGGAAAACCTCGAAAACGGCCATGCAGCCAGGCCGTTCGCGGGATTCGAACCTCGCACCGAGCTACCAGTGGTCAGCGACTTTACCGCCCGGTTGGGGGAAAGGGGGAAAAGTAATTCTTAAAGAAAAGAAAACCCCGTATTGGCGATATTTGCTGCTGATGGATGATTTTTAACTATGAACAGTACTCAAAGACATGTGGCTTGTCTTTTGCTTGAATATTCTTTAAGAAGAGGACGATTATACTGAAAACTAAAACCAGGAATGCAGCTGATTGAATGTATTGTGTACGTTATTCACATTATGTATTTTTTTAAAGCCATTGATTGCTGATTTTTTCTTTTTTTTTTCCAGAAAGAAAACGAGGTCGTCAGACATACACCCGTTACCAGACCTTGGAACTAGAAAAAGAATTTCATTTCAACCGCTACTTGACGCGTCGGCGCAGGATCGAAATCGCTCATGCATTGTGCCTCACCGAGCGACAGATCAAGATCTGGTTCCAAAACCGACGCATGAAGTGGAAAAAGGAAAACAAAGCCAAGCTGGAATCTGGTCTCATTATGGGTCCGGGAGGACCGGAACTTGTGCATCACCTGGACAGACCACCGATGACGTCCGTTTGACTAGATGAACCGGGGGTCGATCTTGATGTGAAACCTCAATGCAGATTCTTTAGCAACTAGCAGATGGGGTAGATGATACTGTACATAAATTCTGAAGGTTCCCTTCAAGAAACATTGCGTGAAGAGTCGCCATGCGTAGATGGCATGATGCTAGTAATTGGAATACCTTTCTTTAATACTCAAGATATCTATGGGCTGTGCTCGTAATTGTCTAAAATTTATTTAAAATTTTAAAAGTCATGTAAAAAAGAAGTGGTTCAGTGAACAGAGCTTGCTATCATAAAGTGATGCGCACATATTTATCCCCAGGAATTAATTTATAGATTCAACAGAAAGAAATATTGAAATTACGTTGTCTTTAACGTAAAAGGAAGTATGGCTAGCAAATATCTGCTTAGAATATTTGGGGATTGTTAGACAGTAGGATATTTCCCATCTAATAATTTTATATTTTAATATCGCAAGTAATTCAAATATTTCAAATTAAGCAATTTCTCAATCCTATATTCCCGAATGTTTTTAACAGTTTTATCATTTCTGTGTGATGGCATCTATCGCAATAATTCTTATTAAACATACTGAATTATTTGTAAGCTTGCTTATTTATTCATTCACGAAATTTCTTTCGAAATCAAAATTTTGATGATAAATATTCTAATTGCTATTTTAATTTATATTAATTTGTAGAAACAAATTAAATTCATATTAAGCTGTTCAATCGCTAATAGCCCCAAACTTAGTGATAATTTTATTTTAAGCCAAGCTACTGTAATACTAATTATTTTCGTTTGGTAGTTAACTAACTGTCTGACAATATCACGGAAACTTCATCGGCGATTGTCTGGTGCCTTCCCTCCTACTGTGAGGAACTTGGGGCACTGAACCATAAATCAAATTCGAATTCGCTCAAAGCATGTTTGGTGGACTGCTCACAAATGGAATTCAGCCCCCCCCCTTTAGCTTCTTTTAATGTACGCGTTTGATCTAAGCATTGAGAATGGGGATACAAAATGTGAAATAAAAAGCAGATATTTCTCCTCTGGATCTTCGACCCCCGGAACAAGGGAGTTGCGACGAAGGGGGAAAAGTAAAGAACTCCGTGGGTGCGAGTCCAGCTGGAATACGCGCCCCTCCCTCCTAGATTTCAGCGTCTTTTCAGCAACACTCTCAAGGGCCTGCAAAACTCTCCCTAGCGAGCAGGCAGAACTGTAACTCGAAATGTGCTGAAAGCAACTAAGTCATTTTTTTCTGTGTTTTTGAGGACTCATGGATTACTCTGTTCTTTCTTTTGTCCTGTAAAGAAGAGAGACTTTTAAATCCAGCTAGCTTCAGGCGAGAAAGTACTTGTGTAAGTTTATGTTTTAATCATTATCCTCCAGTTTATGTGATTGGCTCGTCTGGAACATTACAGTTGTTCTATCCAAATGTTCAAAAATCGAATGCTGCTAATAGTGTGGAAATAAACTTTTCGTTGTGTCCTTTTGACCACCAGAGGTAGTAACATGTTCATTAGCTTAATTTGTCAAACATACGCAATCTGTATTGGGAAGTGATGTGTTCAAAAAATGACTAACAAACATTAAGTATTGAAATTTTGAGCTTTTTTTTATGCGAAATATATTAGTATTTTAGGTTAATTATAGCCTAAATAGGATTTTTCTTAAGGAAAGCCTAAAACTGGAGGAAAATTTCATCTGAACCTAATGATTTCTAACAAAATTCGTGAATGATTCATTTGAACTGCGACCTGTTATTTTAATTATTTATATAATTAATTTTCGTGCACCATTTTCTTACATATCTGATAGAAACGCGAGTTGGTATGATTGATACACCCAAATTTCTTCAACTTGCCAGATGTTTGCTTTTTATAGTGATTATAATTCAGGCTTTCTTACAGGCTTTAGGCTTATGAAATCGATTTTTACTCTTATTTCTGAATTTAGAAAACTATTTTTTTAGAGTCGAGAAATTTTAAAAATCAAATGTTTTCTTACATTTTTTTTTTCTTACATTCCTTTTATTTTATTTATTTTATTTTTTCATAAAAGAGGTTGACTATCCGGTGATAACAAAAGAATGTGATAGCAAACGTTTGGTTAATTACCACCGATAATTAGTGCCAATATTTAACATCTACCTCACTTATATGCATATCATGATTCCTATTTGTTATTAGTTGTCTTAGTTTAACTCTTTTAGTTAAATTAAATTAGTTTAAAAAAAACTAAACTTCGATTCAACACTATCCTTCACAGACTCGAGGAAAAGCACTGTAATGAATTTTTTTGCTAAAAGTCTAAAAGTCTCTCTATTGAGTATGAAGATAATTCCAAAAAGATAATTAACTGAATAATACTGAATAAATAAATTACAGGCTTTTACAAAGGGCAAGGAAAAGTAAACAGATACTTTCATTATTTCAACATTTTCTTTGGTTTAAAAATTTTTTTTGTGTTTAATAAAATTAAAATTTCTTATTCTGTAGAAAAACTGTATATAGTATTGCTCTGTGTACTTGAAAGTTATTGTAAGAAATGTTAATTACTTTACCGAAAGCTCAAAAAGAGAACAATTCTTTTCTTTCCCCTATTATATGATAACTTTTACTCCCTGCCCTATCCAAGGAAAAAAGTAAATGTAAAAAAACATACCTATTTCTTTTAGAAATAAGGTATGTTAAGTCATTCGTTAGGTTTTTCACCCCCCCCCAGCATTGCAACAAGCTTTTTTTTTTCTAAAAAGTTTTGCTACAGCATATTGATTGCATTTTATTTTTTACAACTGCATGTTTAATTCATTTTTTTAGTTAATTATTGCAAATTGAATTATAAATTAAATTATTAACTTCACATGAAGCAAAATATTTTCTAGAATGGACCATGTTGGAATTAAAGTGTGCTATCGATATTTCCCTAGATATAAAAGGAAACGCTTGACTCTAATAAAACAATTTACTGAAATTGTCAAATGAAGTTTCATCATTTACGAGTTTTATCCACGTTCCTTTTTTCTACTTTAAGTTCCTATTCTGGAGAAAGAGAAAGAAAAATTTCTTCTGAAAGTTATGATGCATATTAAATTACATGGTTAGGTGAATCGATGCGATTTTAGTGAGATAATTAAGACTGATAAGATCACAGAAGTTTTATTTTAGCGTCACGTTATAAATAATCAACTATAATATCAACTAAAAACTTAAGCGGGTATATTAGGATTCTTGCGCTTTTTGTAGTAAAATATATTTTATTTATCTCTTTAAAATTTAACAAGCCTGTTTGAATATTCAGTGTCTTTTATGTAAAACCAAAAAAGTATAACTACAGGAGTAGTATTATTGATATCGCATACAGATTTCGTTTAACGTAATAGTGAAATAAAATGAAATAACATTTACCTAATATTAATTCCACAATATATTAGCAGCATTCGAAATGTATGAGAATGAAATTTTTGCATAATCTTGTAATTAATGGTAATGTATGATGTTTGCGAATAATATGTACATAGTATAAACAAGAAAAGTAAAAGGAATTATCAGTTTCAAACAGTGTTTTATCTTTCAGTCTTTCTTATCATACGAAATGCATTGTGTATGAAACAAGTTTTCTGTACTGGGCGTTAATATGTCACGATCATCATTTTCCATGAATTATAATCAACGAATGGGAAGAACTGGAAATCTTCCAAAGGACCAAATGTTTAATTTTTCAAGAGTAATTTTCACTGCTGAAGCTTCCTTTGCATCTTTTCCGTTACAAGATAACATGCACCAAATAGTTTTCTTTAGAAAGTTATATGCTCTAACTTGATACTTCCACTTAGAAAACAAATTTTCGTCATCAACTCATTTTGACTGTAGTAAAATGTTTCTTAATGTATTTATAACATAATTTTATTTCAGCAAACAAAGAGGGGACTAAAATAATACACTTTGAAAACTTTGCAATATAAGTGTTTACTCTGCCCCTCCCCCCCCCCCCCCGAAAAAAAAAGAGATCAATGCTACAAGGTATAAGAACAACATATTTAATTTAACGGTGGCCAGAAAGCATTGTTGGAGCATATATTTTTCTAATAAAAATTGTTCGGCCCATGTTGTCTTAAAAAGGATAAGATCCATTTTTTTCCGGTATGTGAGCTGAACAATCAAGATATTAAAATATCCATGGAATAGCTAATTATGTGGTTTATAATATAAGGTACTCACAAATGAAATAAAATACTCACATTTTGTAACATTACATTAATTTAAAGAACCAGTTTTAAAAATTTTATTATTTTTACTTATTTACGTTAAAAGTACATCTGATAAAAACAATACAAAATTCATTTTCTCAAGGTATAAGTTACAGTTTTGCAATTACTCACATTAAGCAAGATTGCTTTTCTTAAGGGATAAAAATCGAACATTTTTCTGAAAAATTCCTGTGTGTGAATGTGTGTATCTGAGTATAGCAGCTAAATAATACTTTTTTGTAGTTGTATTCCAATTACTTGTGCGTTGTAGTTAAGGCATAAATAAAATAGATATCACGTGCATTTTAATTTAAAAGTTTTTGTTTTCCCTGTAATTATCTCTCAAAGTTTGTATGGTATATATTTTTTAAATACAAGTAATTTTGATAACTATATAAGAATTTGCATATCAGTTTCAAGTGACTTAAGCGAATTATGTCGACTCAAGTGAAATACAATTTTTTTCTTAATATGGATTAATGCAGAAGATTCATTATTTTAAGGACATATTTTACTTAGTCTGCAAGAGTGGTCTTGAAACTTTATTGAGTCACGGAGCCCTTAGAACTAACTATAAGGATTTTTTGAGGAATCCCATCCTACCCTTAGAGGTGTCGGTGTATTTAATTACGGCAAAGCACACTAGGACTATCTGCCTAAGGGGAGGGATGCCTTCGTGGAGGACTTTCTAAGGAAAACTGGCTCGTATACACGTTACACATAGGGAAAACCACGAAAACGCCCATGCAGCCAGCCCGTTCGCGGGATTCGAAACCTCGGACCAAACTACCACTGTTCAGCGACTTTACCGCTCGGCCGCTGGTGGGCCGACCCTTAGAGAAAAAGATCTTAAAATAATATTTAAAGCAGATCACAGTGTATAGGTATTTTATGTAAAGACAATTAAGGAAAAGTACTATATTTTTTATTAAAAAAAATTAATATAAAATAAATGCAACTTATTAATAGCATTAACTCGTATTCCAGGTGTCAGGTACCTTTTGAAAAAGTACTCCATTGTGTAACTGTTAACAGGTCGTCTAAATTCATTTTCCATTAGAACATTGCTTAGTTTTGCAAAACATTGCACGTCTTTCTCATTTACATACAATGACCATATGACCTCATATTAAGTTTTAGAACTAATCGGTAACTAGATTGCTATCTCTATATATTTTAGTTAATAAACACTAGTCAATTAATGTGGAGTGCTTTATAATTTTCTTTTCGAATTTTTATTTTGACTCGGTACCTTTGAGTTTGACTCACAGAACACCAGAGTTCCGTGAAATACAGTTTGAAGACCTGTGGTCTACAGGAATAAGCTGTTCATGCTGGATATAAAAAGAAAGGTGCATTTTGTCTCTCATCACATTGAAAATACATGCATACAGGTTGATTACAGCGTGTTTCCGAAACGAAGATTAGTAAAATAATGTTGCAAAATACATAAAATGTATAAATTTAGTAAGTAAAATGTAAGAGAATTTCATCTCCTCAACTGAAGAATCTGAAATGAGTCATACCTTAAGAATTATGTCTCCCTTAATTTGTTATAACTCTTTATTATTACTATTTAATTTATCACGCGTCATACCCTCGCTGATATTTTAACTTGAGGTTAAGTGTCTTATACTCCCCATTATCTCGGTAGATTTTTGCTTCTGAATTGTAAACAATAACCAAATGTTGAAAACAATTTGTATCGTTTTATTTTTGTATGTGGTAGAGTGTTTCTTCTGCCATCGTTATCTTCCCTATTTTGAACTAAAGTTTGTTTTAATCTTATTATATTAATATCGGTGAGTATTATTCTAATTAATTTTTAATTCATTTAACTTATTTATTCATTGCTATATGTGTTTGGAAAGGGATAGAAAATAAAATGCCCATCTTTTGCTGTTAGTGACATTTAATTCAAGCATCATGAGAAGAGCGTCTGAAAATGTTTTTCTTGAAATTCCTACAATTAGATAAAGTGCGCTAATATTTCATAACCGGCTCGGTGTTGAACTCTTTCGAAATTAGCAGCTTAAAAGCAGAAAATGCATTAATTTTAGATTTTGCAAAAGGGTATTAAAGCGCTTTCTAGCATTCCGGATTATTCAAAGATATATTTCAGATATATATATTAACGATAATTTATCATTCTCGAGTGTTAGATTCTATTTTAAAACCAAAGAAAACGCTCGTTCGAATACCCCAAATCGTATTTCAAAACTTTCCTCTCAGATTTATGCTGCAAATAATTAACGGTGTCTTAAGTGACCAATCATTTACCCTAAAGCGCGGCAGCAGTCAAAGAAAAGAAAGCTTGATATCTTGATACTGCTTAAGCTGAGGAAATAAATAACGCCGCTATTTATTTCTTGGGACGTTAATTTCCAAACTTCCAAATGGCGCCCTGTTATCTACCGAACTTTCGATCCTGATTAAAAAGGGAAAAGTAAAACGACTGTGGAAATCTCCGGAGGAATTACTCCTGGGAGGGAAAAAAAAAATCTTAGTTATCAACGACATATACTGGTATGCATCCATTTCTTTTTTTTTTTTTTTTTAACCTTTTCTTAGCGGTATATCCCATTTCTTAACAGCCGATGCATTTTTTGGGAAGGGAATTTTCTCTCGACATGGCAGATATTTTAAGCGTTCGATCGACGATCGTGGACTCGGTGAAAAATAGCGGGTTTAGCGGACTTATTAGTCAGTAGGATGGAGGAGGAATACGGGGGTCTTAGCGGTTGACAGTGAAAAACAGCGAGCGCTCCTGAGCCCAGGGCTGCGGGCCAGGGCGTCATACGTCAAGCGTGGGCTGCTTCGCTCTCCGGTTCGCCCGAGGATTTAAAATGTAAAGCCATGAAACCCACGGCATCTAAATCTCGGGGCGCCATCATCGATTCTTTACTTGGCTGCCATTCCGACATTACGGCGTTTAATGGCTCAATAATGCCACGCTTGGCACGTTCGGACTCGGCCCGGGAGCCCTCTTGCATGGATTAGGACCAGTAATCCCTTTTACAACAAGCATATAAAAATAAATCGCCAAGACTTTTCTTCGGCAAAAATTTCTTCGTATTTTTTCCCCTTCTTGATCCTCCATCTCATCTTGATTTTGCTATAGGTTTAATTTTTTGCTTTGAGATGCTTCATTTGTTTTAGCTGGTAGCTAAAGACAACTTTTTAAGCTTCGTGTTGTTGCCACTTCTACGTATTCATTCAGTTTTCGTACTTTTGCCAATATGAGGATTTATGTCTGGCACTAATTGCGCATAAATCTTGGTACTGTTACAATCAAAAGCAAAGATTATGTACTTACCGTCCATGCCGTAAAGTATACTCTACAACAGGCTCACAAGGAATTCTGTGTTTCGGGACTATAGAAATCTTTTATAATCTCGTGTATGTTTTTCTTACAGTACATTACAGAGCCTAATATTCCAGTAACCGTACGCAACTAATAATCTAATATTCTAGTGAACATAATTCATTTATAGGACATTTCTCTTATAATGAATTTCTTCCACTGGAATATTAGGTACAAAACATTAGGTTTAAATGTAGAATTGAAATGAAGAAAGAGACTATTAAAGTGTTGATAAAAAGGGCAAAAATAGAGTTAAAAATTTCCTTCATCTATACATGCTTACTAAGAGCTTTAGGTTAACTTAACTTTTAAGTAAAGATCTTTTAGAAATTTATATAGAATTCACGTGACATAGTATTTACTGCACATATGACAGGCTATATCCATTTTTTAAAAATCTTCGACCTAATTTTCTTTAACAGCATACAAAGATGATTGATTTTATGATTTTATGTTATGACATTTTGAAAAATGTCTAGTGTGTTTTACTCGTTCAAAATATAATTGTTTTTTATACATGCATTAAAACGTATTAGTTTCACAATTAATTCGAAAAATATGAATTCCAGATAATTTTTAGCCCAAAGCAGTGTTAGCCCAGAAGGGCTTCTAGTCTCGAAACGCATTTTCCATCGAATCACTATGGCTGGATCATTTTTCAAATTTTTGCCAACAAATATTATCGCCCAAACAAATATTATCGCCCTGTATTATATTAAAAAAAATTAAACAATGAAGAATCTGCAGAAATGTATGTAAGTTTCTCGCATTGTGAAAAATCAACGATACCTAGAGCTATCATATAAGACCAACTTGTTTGGTTATGCGGGTTGGGCTGAGCCCGCTACTGATACTGATACTGATACCTAGAGCTATTAAATTTTGAATAACATGGTCCTCCACCCGAATATGGGCACCTGGATACTCGAATCTTGAATTTCGAAT